AGGCGGATGTCTGCAGGGATGCTGGATGGGGCTGCTGGGGCTTTGGGGCAGGCGGGCTCACAGTGGGGACATGGGGAGTGGGCACGAGCCCTGCACAGCCACCAACGTCTGCTGCTTCCAACGCCCTCACATCAGGGCAGGGAAAGCATTTCTCGGCCACGTGATTATTGTTATTTTTTTTTTATCCAGCTAAAAATACAGATTTGGCCGCACCAAAGCTCCGGGAAATCAATGTCACTGTCAGCAGGCTGTGCTGGAAGGAGCCTCCCGGCCCTGTGCAGATGAGAGGCGAGCTGCGCTGTGACATCTCGGCCCACCCGCTCAGCTGCACTGCTGGTAACTCGGAGCAAAGCAGCCCATTTATCCCAGCCCATTCCCCTCCCCGAGCCCCACGGACTTCAGGTGCTCCTCACTCGCTGTGCTGATTTCAGCCCTTCCACCACGCGCCGCTCTGCTCTCCTCCAATCTCGTTTTCTCACACCTCCATCACCCCGCAGGCTGTGGCCCCGCAACCCCAACCCCCCTGGGACCCAGAGCTCCCTGGGGCTGTGCCGTGTGCCCCAGCACCGCTGCATCCCTCAAACCAGCGTCCCCAAAGTGTGATGTCCCCAAAGCACCGCATCCCCCAAAGTGCAGCATCCACCCGGCCGCTCGTTCAGAGCGCAGCCAACCAGCCCCAAGCAGCCCTTCACAAGGCAATATGGTGCCACCACCACGTACTGTGCAGGATGCACCCCTGCGATGGTGGCTCTGAAGATGCCGGGGGATGCACAGCAGCTCAGGGAGGTGATTCCTCACTGCCCTTCGTGCAGCTGCCAGAGCTTCCAGAAATAGCAATGTTGGGAGCAAATGTGACTCATGGAGACCTGAGCCCCCACCTCGGGGTGCTGCCAAGGCCCGGTGCCCCTGCTGTGCTGCTCAGAGCTGTCCCCTGGCTGCCCTTCTCAGGGCCCTGCTGCTCTCTGCACTGTTGGCTGCTGTGCTGGGTGCAGTCAGGGCCCTGTGGGGACAAGCTGCCTGCAATGGGCATGAGAACCCATCCCAAGGTGGGGAAAAATACAGCCCCAAAATAGGATGTTTCAGCTGGTGGCAGGCTGAACTTCCCATCCCATCCCATCCCATCCCATCCCATCCCATCCCATCC